ACTGGAATGTATTCGGAATTATAATTTCCTTGCATAAACGAGGAGTAAAAGAAACATTTCAGCCACACAGCTTTAAACTGATCACCAACGAATATGGGTTCAGCCAAAGTAAGTTCAGACAGAATTTGAGCCTGCGTATATTGTTAAAAATGATTTAAAGTAAAGTAATAATTTACTGTCTCCAGTCAAATAAAATCCTGGGAACTGTTTGAAGTAAGTTGCCTCAAAGCGCTCCTTGTCTCCATATACAGAGCGCAGTATGGATGGCCAAGGTCGTTTGAATACCTGAAACAAAAACAAAAACCAATGATCTCACCAGTGAATGAAAACTCCAGGAAAACTGACACGCTGTGCAGTTTGCTTTTTGCTTACATAATTAGTCTGATAATTAAAACGTCCCTTTTATTACATGGCAGCCATGATTCAATCACACTTCTGCCAATGAAGGTTGTGAGCTCAAGTTCTACCCCAGAAACTTGAGGGTGGAAATCTACCATGGTACAGAATTGAGATAGTGCTGAAATGTAGGAGATTTTGCCTCAGACAACATAGACATCAGTCGATGTAAAAGAGCCCATGGTACCATTCTAAAAACAGTGGATTCTCCCAAGTGAATATTTACTCCTCAGTTAAAAAATACAAACTATTTTGTCATTATCCCCTTATTGTTCTCAGATTTATTACCATATTTCCTACTTACAACCAATGTTACCTCTTAAAAAAAACCAAAAGAACTGCGGATGCTGTAAATCAGGAACACAAACAGAAGTTGTTTGAAAAGTTCAGCAGGTCTGGCAGCAGTTGTGAATAAAAAAAAGTCAGAATTAATGTTTCGGGTCTGGTAACTCTGATTTTTTTCTTCACAGCTGCTGCCAGACCTGCTGAGCTTTTCCAGCAACTTCTGTTTCTGTGTCCAACATTCCCTCTAATTGTTTTCTCTCCTATGATGATTCCTGAAGTCTCTGTGCAGTGGCAGCTTCAGAAGTGGAAGCCAATGGGTCAGTACATTGATCAGCACATACGAAATCTCCCAGCAGCTGTGCAGCCATTTACAAAACTGACTACACTTCAGAAACACCTCACTGTGTGTAAGCATCTTCACATGTCCTGTATTGTGAAAGGTACAATATAAACTAGACTTCCCATATGTCAAGATAACAAGGTGTAGAGCTGGATGAACACAGCAGGCCAAGCAGCATCAGAGGAGCAGGAAGGCTGACATTTTGGGCCTAGAAATTTCGTCCAGCTCTACACCTTGTTATCTCAGATTCTGCAGCATCTGCAGTTCCTACTATCTCCTTCCCATATGTCAAGATGTTTTCCTTGGAATGGGTCACCTGACTGCAGCCAGAGGCTATAGCTGGAGGGCTATCGCTCCACATAAACCATGGCTGACCAGAGGTCTCTCCAAATCTTAGTGCTTGCCATAAGAGTGTTGGAAGGATTGGCAGGATGACAACCAACCTGTGTGGCTCAGTTACAAACACATATTCATTGAGTATCATGTCCTAGATTGGGCCTTGAACCCAGAACTACTGGCTAAACTGCATCACAAGACCTCTACGTACTAATTAAATGCAAGCTTTTGTTTTTTTATTCTGCACATACAAGTCATCATTCCTGCCAAAGTCATTTTATTCATTGATGGGATTTGGGCATCATTGGCTAGACCAGCATTTATTACCCATCTCTAACAGACAAGAGGGCAGTTAAGATTCAATTACATTGCTGTAGGTCCAGGTAAGGATGGCAGATTCCCAAAATGGCAGTAGTGAACCAGATGAGTTTTTACAACAATGGTCCCCATTAAGCTAGATAAATTGAATTCAAATTTCACCATCGATCATAGTGGGAGTCAAACTTGTGTTCACAGAACTATAACCTGGGGGTCTGAATTACTAATCTAGTGACATTGCCACTACGCTTCTGCTGTCCCTGTTCCAGATGTACTGGTTTCAAAAGATAAAGAGGCCATGCTGTTAATGTATAACACGTCAGTCAACAACACAAAGAGGAAAGTTTGTTGGTTCAACTGTGGATCATTATCAAGATCATGGATACTGGAGATCTGAAATAAAAACAGAAAATGCAGGAAACACTCAGCAACTCTGCCAATATCTGCAGAGACAGAAAGAAGAGTTAACATTTCTGTCTAATGATGAGTTTATAATCAGAAACTAAGACATTAACTTTATTTCTCCCTGCACAGATGAGGTCTGACCTGCTGATTATTTTCACCATTTTCTATTACTTTTACTTTATATTAGCATCACAGTGGTACATTACACAGCAGCAAAGAAGTTAACAGCTTGTGGATCATTTCACAAGTGATTGAAGAATTACGATCTCTTTTGTGCACAAGAATTATTCTGAACCTCATTGCTGTGTGAGATACTTAGCAAGAAGTCCACAAGTTCTGGAAGGCTCTGTTGGAGCTGAACTGAGCACCTACCAGGTAACCCTCAGCTTCTCCCTCCAGTTCCTCACCATGCTCATTGAGAATTGCAGGGAGAACACCAAAGAATGGAAATGTCTGGAGGAAGACAAACAATGCAGTTTTCGGATTAGTTCCTGCAGGAGGAAAAGAGCTCACACCTGAGAAAGAAAACATTGATGCAATTAATTAAATTAAAGCTTACAGTTGATCCTGGCTTCAATGGTGTAGCAGCAGGCAAAGGGGTCATCATTGGGCCACCCTGTACAGAGATACAAGACAAAAATGCTACACGACAGTCTCTAATTGGCACACTAAGTGGTACACTTTTGTTCATTGCTAACTAGCATAGAAACATTCTTAGCTGGTCAGTGCAGTGCTATTCTACTTGCAATCTACCAAAGGAATACTAGGATCTTTAAGGAATTGCAATGATTGAGGGATAATGGGGATTTTTTAACATCTAGTCTCAGGTTCAACAGCAATAAGGTAATCAGAAGCTGACCGATGGGAAAAGCACCAAATCCCCATTTTACACACATAAGAATCTATGGACAAGGAGCAGGCTATTTTTCCCCTTGAGCCTGCTCCATTGTTCAACGTGATCATAGAATCGCTACAGTGTGGAAACAGGCCATTTGGCGCATCAAATCCACACACTATGAAGAGCATCTCACCCAGATCCACCCCCCTACCCAGTCCTCATTTCCCATGGCTAACCCACCTCGCCTGAACATCCCTGGACACCATGGGCAATTCAACATGATCATGGTTGATCTGTTTACGTTTGGAATTCCACGTTCCCACCTACCCCTGATATCCCTTGATTCCCCTGGCTGTCAAACAAGAATCTCTCTTACATGAGCTGTATGTAGCAACTGTGTGTGTCACATTGGTGATGCTCAATCAAAATACAATCTAGGGCCAAAGACATGGAAATCATAGTTGACAAATCATAGATTGAATTGTTAGTATATATTTCAGTTTCAAAACCAAATAGGTAGGTTCAGCGAGTGGGAAAGAATCTGGCAGATGGAGTATAATGTGGGAAAATGTGAAGTTGTTGTTCACTTTGGTAGGAAGAATAAAAAAGCAGAATATTATTTAAATGGAGAATGATTGCAGAATTCTGAGGTGCAGTGGGATCTAGATGTTCAACTACGTGGGTTGCAATAACGTTATTATGCAGGTCCAGCAGATAATCAGCAAAGTTAATCAAACACCGGCCTTTATTACAAGAGGAATTTAAGATAAAAGTAAGGATGCTATACAGGGAATTAGCGATACCATATCTCCAATACTGTGCACAGTTTTGGTTTCCTTATTTAAGAAAGTATGTATACACTGGAGATGGTTCAGGGAAGGTTTGTTTGATTGACACCTGGAAGAGTGGGTTATCTTATTAGGAAAGGTTGGACATTCTGGGCTTGTTACCACTGGAGTTTAGAGAAGTGAGGGATGCCTCGAATGAAGTTTATAAGATCCCGAATGGTCTCAACAAGGTGGATGCAAAAAGGATATTTACTCTTGTGGGTGAGTCCCTGAACACAAAGCAAACTGGCAGAAGCACGCAAATCATAGGAGACCCTGAGCTCCAGAGTAATATAGGACTGAAATGGTGTGACAGTTGGGCCTGAGAGCAATGTGGGAAGGCTGGTAGTTTGTCAATGAAGACTCGTATGGACTAAGGGTCAAGGAAGATGGCTCCCATGGAACATGCAGGATATTAAGCTCAGAAAGGAGAGAGATTTTCAAAAGACATGAGAGGCATTTTTTTTACACAGTGGATAGCTCGCATGTGAAGTGAACTTCCAGAGGTAGTGGTGGATGTGGGCACAGTTATTAAGTTTAAAAGTCACTTAGTTAAGCATATGAATAGGAAAGGTTTGAAGGGATATGAGCCAGGAGTGGGAGGTGGGACTAGTTTCGTTTGGGATTATGTTCAGCATGGACTGGTTGACCCGAAGAGTCTGTTTCCGTGCTGTATGACTCTATAAGGCACAGTTGGATGATGGCCAGATCAAGCAATCAGTTGTTGGGAATTGTGTTGTCTAGTTTCCTGGGGAACGAGAATAAAATTGGAAGTGGTATATAAATAAGAAGAGTTGGAATGTTAATGAGATACAAGTACATTGGAATGAGGTATTCGCTGCTCAGTCATGTGATTCTGAAGTTGCCATTTTACCTTAGGGCAATATTGCAAAACATTTTCTCAACATTGAGATTCTAATTTTTTCTACTCCACTGTTCTTGCTTTGGTCGTGTTGCACTAGGAGGGGCAAAGATCTGCCCAGTGTTTTAGATCATAATGAAATGTCATCATCGTGAAACTTTAACTCAGTTTCTCTCCCCATGGATGCTGCCAGTCCTGCTGAGTATTTCCAGCATTTCCTTTCATCAGCCTATTATGTTATTTCATGAGTGAAATTCAATGAGATCAGCTGAGCATGACCCACCTTTACAAATCTGTGCTGGCTATTCTTAACTCAAAACTTTCCACCTGCCTCTGATTTCTTTTCCCTGATTATAGTTTCCAAAACCTTACTCTGATGTTAAGGTAATGGTCCTTTAGCTGCTAGAAATGTCCAAACACCCTTCTGTTATAAGAGTGCCCCATTTCCACTCTCCAATCGTGTAAGCATAGAACTAGTGACAATTGGAAAATGTTACAAGTCCTTCCACTATTACCGCTCCCGTTCTTGTTTTAGAAAACATGAGGAAAATATCAGCTTTATAATTATGTGAAAGATGGGAAATATATATTTTAGAGATAGTAGGAACTGCAGATGCTGGAGAATCCGAGACAACAAGGTGCAGGGCTGGATGAACACAGCAGGCCAAGCAGCATCATAGGAGCAGAGAGGCTGACGTTTCGGGCCTAGACCCTTCATCAGAAAAGGGGGAGGGGAAGGGGGTTTTGAAATAAATAGGGAGAGAGTGGGAGGCGGATAGAAGAGGGATAGAGGAGAGGATAGGTGGAGAGGAAACAAACAGGTCGAAGAGGCGGGGATGGATATATATATATATTTTAGCTATTTTCATACTTTATTATGTTAATATTGTTGTGGTCCCCCTCCCTCCCCCTACAGCCAACTCCTGAAAAGCAGATCCTCTCCAAGGGACAAGACTCTCCACTATCTCACCAATTGAGATCATAACAAACCAGTTCCCGTCATTAACTGATATCCATACACATGTTCATTTAGCAGCACTTAACAGAACCATAATGACCTGGATGAACTTCCCCACCTACCTTAAGAAGTCAAAGCTAAGGTACTCAAACCACAACAGCTCGCTCAGCATGGGTCAAGAATAAAACTTGGAGCTTCTTGGCTTTGTGCCACTCTACTTTTACCAAATAAGGTGTTTGGAGAGGTATTAATCTGAGAATGAACAGTATCTTCCATTTCTTGCATTGTACTTTCAGTTCCTCGATGGGTATCACCATCCCAATGGAAAGAAAGCAGATTCTATCCTCACCACCTCTCTCCCTGATTGCCAACAGTTGGAAATCCAGCCCACTGTGTCATTTACTCCATAGTGTGAAATGTGGAGGATGTAGTCATGTTAAAAAGAAATGTTCGTGCCGTTTTGAGGAGCATAGAAGCATAGGAACAGAAGTAGGCCATTCAGGCATTGAGCTTGTGGCTGATCTGTGGTCTGTCTCCATATACGTCCTTTTAGCGAAAATCCATAATACTTTTGCTTAATAAAAAACTAGCTCAGATTTAGAATTAACAACTGATCTAGAATCAATTACCATTTGTGGAAGAGAGTTCCAAACATCTACCCTCTTTCGTGTGTAGAAGTGCTCCCTAACATCTCTCCTGAATGGTCTTGCCTTCATTTTTAAATCATGCTCCCTAATTCCAGAATCCCCAACGTGTGGAAATAATTTATCTTTATCTACCCTGTCCTATCCTGTTAATACCTTGAAGACTTCGATCAGATCATCCCTTAACCTTCTAAATTCTAGAGAAAACAGGCCTAATTTGTATAATCTCTCCTCATAACTTAATCCCTGATGTCCAGGTATCACTGCATATCTTTCTTTGCATCTGACATCACTGGGACAAAATAACATGCCTCTCTCAAGTCCTTTCTCTCTGAAACAAAACATGAGGATGCCTCTTTAACAGGAATGTTTACCGTTTCAGTCTGCCAGAAAGTATCCACGATTGGACACTTGCCATTACCAATCACATTATAATACCATGTCCAAGCCTCCGGGTTAATAGGCTCTCCAGCACAGCCCAGGATTCTCAAAGAACTGAGATTGAACCTGAAGCAGTCAAGTGAAAAGAACATCTTACGGAGGAAAAAAGAAGATTTTTAAATCACACGCAACAACAAAACAAAATGATGTTACAATATAGCAGAAATTGCACGTTAAGAAGGAGGGGGAAGTAAAGCCTTAATCTGGAAGCTAAATTAAAGCATGAAATACCATTATTGTCAGAGGTCCTTCTGAAATCTGTAAAGGAAAGGACAATTTATTTGCAATAGAGAATGGAGAAAGCAAAAATAGATTAAAGGAAAACACAGCAAATATATCAGTTTTGAAAAGGAAAGACATGATTCAACTTTGTGGCACAATTTCATATCAGAAATCTTACAATTATTTTTCTTGGAGAGAATGGTTTATTTTAAATATACTCCTCCCAAATAATAAATACCAGCCCCAAACTTTAATTCTGCAACGCTCACCTTGCAAAGTCACACTGGGTAGAATCAAACACGTTTCTAAGAGATGTCAGAGTTTGTTAACAAACGGTAAGTAAGACAATCAGAATTACCACGTAAAGTATCATTCTCCCTTCTGGAATGTCTTTTCCTCTAAGGCACACAAACTGAACATATTTTGAAATGGTTAGCCAGTGATATCCTGACAAGAGCATAAGTGAAGAACTTCTCATTGATTGAAGTAAGTTTTCTCACAGTTGGTTATCATCCAGTGATTTCCCCTGGAAGAATGTCTGGATGGACATTTGTAAGCGCTCATTGGGATGTCCTGTTAGTTGAAAAGTCATTGTCCAGCTCATGTGGGTGAGTTCCTGATGAGATGCTGGCAAACCACTGTAACTCAATGAAGACAGAGGAGAGAAAAGGTGGGGAAAAGACAAGGAAGGAGGAGCAAACATAAAGGAAGAAAAGATGAAAAGTGGCTCAAAGAAGAAAGAAGAATTGAAAAGGGTAGAAATGTTCTTAGGCGCAGACAGACAATTGAGAATGAAATAGGATCCACCACTAGATTCAGTAAATGGGGCCCAGAGCTGTAGCCTGACTATGGTCTGGTATGACACCAGTTAGTTCTCAGGAAGCATCATCGTTTTCACAGTTTCGATAAATTCTTCCATACTGAAACCAAAACCCAAGAAACAACGTCATCGTGTATAACTTTAAATACTTAGGGAAACTCCAATAGATATTTAAATAGAACATAATTTCCAGTGTTTATAATAAGCAAAACTGCTCCAGGGATCCAAACATATGTCTTTGAATTACACGTAAGTTGCACCATTGAAACAAGCTGTTCAGCTTAGCCAGCCTATCTTAGTGTTTATCCCCCACACACGCAATAAAGGTAGAATACAGGAGGTCTTCACTTCATTTGATCAATCCATTGAATGCTCTAGAAGATTCAAATTGCAGTAAGCTAAGTGTATGGGTAACTAGCACACCTTTACTCAGTGACACTTCGGCCCTTACTTCAAGCTTCGTGCATTCAGTGATTAGCTCAAATCAGCTTCCTAACTTTCTTACTTTCTCACAGGTTCCTCTCCAAACTTCATCAGCATCCTAATCACTGTGGGCGCTGTGTAAAGCTTTGTCACTTTGTACTTTTCAATCATTTCATACAACCTCCCGACATGTGGATAGAGTAAGAGACCTTCAAACTAAAACAGAGAGAAATTTAATCAAAACACAACCATTGGAAAATCATCCGATTCACGTGTACAACTTTATTTTTATCGTTCTCAAATCTGGTGGTGGTGTCCTTTGGTTTTATAGTGAAGCTTCTAGTGGAACTCCAGCCTCTAGGCAGTGACCCTGCCATTTTGTGAGTTGAGAATTTAGCATTGAGAATTTACGAGGTGCAAACAGAAACCTTTGACCCTACTTCAGATCTGGCAGGAAGAGAAGGGCACCTTCTTGTACAGCTCTGTAAAAGGCTCCAGAAGGCACTTTGTAGAACATTAGGACCAAGCTGACTTCCTACTCCCTCCCTCTCTCAAGCAATCAAATTTCAAATAGGGAGATCCAAGGAGAAGAAAGAAAAAAAACTACCGACACTTTCATTTAGCTAAATATTCCTATGTGTTCCCCTGTTCCTGTTTACATGATTTTATTGAAGTAGAAAAGTGCAGAGGAGGAGTTGAAGAATATGTCTCTAAATAAGCCATGAGGTTTGGTTTGGGAAAGTGTCAAAATAAATTGAGAGGGTACAACGCTTGTTGAGTATGTGCCTCAGGCATTGCTTCTGAATGACAGCAGCCTTTTGCAACTAGCGTTTGTCACCTGAAATGCGGTGGCCAGTTTTTGGACATTAGGGGCTAGGGGAAAGGTACCTCACCTGCCCATTGAATTGCCAAAGGCTGCACTTCTCAGGTTGCCCCAAGTTAGCACACGTTCTGTCCCAGATATCCATGTGTTTCTTTACCTACTGCGTGTACAGAAAGCAGCCAGAAAGATGTTTAATTTTTTATTTGTTCAGTTTTATGGGGCCTGTAGAGGCAGAATGCCTGCTCATCATGTGCTGCATCATTCGATATTTCTATAATTACACAATTTTTAAAGTATGCACTTACGATCAGGTCTGAGGAAGTCAGGAAACACCAAGATGGGAGTGCCCTCAGAAGGATACACATCAGTAATCATTTTACAGGGGGGAAGGTAGCAGCTCCAAGGAAACAGGGTGGTAAGATCTCTGAGGGGTGACAGCTGTGGTCTTTCCTTCCTTTAGTCATGGGGTATGGAGACAGCGACCCCTGCCTCTCCCCCTCCCTCACAACTTCTTATCTGCCAGCCAGCACAAGGAGAATGTCTCTATTGAGTTGGCAGATACTTTACAGAGCAGAGCGTGACAGCTACACTGCCACCAGCAAAGTGCCAGGGAGCCCTGGAAAATCCCCTTCATCATTGGCCTTAATGGTTTAAATTGAGTACCCACGCACAGAATCATAGAATCCCTACAGTGTGGAAACAGGCCCTTCGGCCCAACAAGTCCACACTGACCCTTGGCGCATTCCACCCAGACACATGCCCCTATAACCCACCTAATCTACACATCCCTGAATACTACAGGCAATTTAGCACAGCCAATCCACCTACCCTGCACATCTTTGGACTGTGGGAAGAAACCAGAGCACCCAGAGGAAGCCCACGCAGACACAGGGAGAGTGTGCAAACTCCACACAGACAGTTGCCCGAGGGTGGAATCGAACCCGGGTCCCTGAGCCACCGTGCCGCCCCATGTAGAGAGGATAGCTGATCTGTATCTCAGCACCCACGGAAAACTTCCTCGGTAGTGGAAATATAAATACGCCTCAACCCCCCTCTAATTCTGCTTTCTTTCCCTACTGCTCCAATCACCTACGCTCCCCCCACACAGTCCACGGGACCAGGAAAACTCACATCTGTGATACTAACATCCCCCGTTGTGACTCCTTAAACCTTTTTGCGCAGTTTATAACCAAAACTGACTAAAATGATATGCAGAGGTGATATTGGCCATAGGCCTTGGAGTGGATTGTCTCTTTGGCTGGGATGATGCCACACCATTCAGACCCCTCAAATAGAAAACATTACCGTAGCAAGATGGAGGCTTCTGCCTTCAATGCATCATCAAACCTGGCCAGAGTGAATTCTCTATTCTAACAGATACTCTGAATACTGTCTCCACTCACAAGAATACATGTCGCACCATTTGCCAGTGGGCCATAGATGACATAGGAATGTCCAGTAATCCATCCAATATCAGCTGTGCACCAGTAGATGTCATCATCGTGGTAATCAAAGACATACTTAAAACTGACCGCAGTGTAAATTAAATAACCTGCAACAGTGTGCAGTACGCCCTAGAACAAAAGTAAAACACAAGTTATTGTCAGTAATGTTCATCTTCTGGTGAATTTACAAAATCAGAATTGTACCAGTTCAAAGGCAGGCCATTTGGCCTATTTTGTCTGTATTGTCTCCAAATGAGCATTTTGCTTAGTACCATTTTTTCGCCTTCTCCCTGTAACCCTCAACATTGTTGTATTTAAATTAACACCCTCTTAAAATCCTGAATAGAACCCACCTCCACCACACTATAACACAGTGCTTTCTAGACCTGAATCACTCACTGTTGGAAAATGTTTTTCCTAATTTCACTTATCTTAAACGTTCTATTCATTCAAAGGATGTTACTGGCTCGGTCTGCATTTATTGTCCGTGCCCAGTTAAGAATCTACCGCATTGCTGTGGCTTTGGAGTCACATTTAGGGTCAATTGACCCACATTTGGCAATATAACTATTAAATTTGTCCCAAATTATTGTTTCTGGAAAGTTTCCTAACCAGCAATGTCATACTGACCAGCCTCTAGTTGCTGGTTTTATCTTTACATCATTTTTTGAATAAGGGTGTAATGTTTGCAATTCTCCAATCCTCTAGCACTATCCTGAGTCTAATAAAAACTGAAATATTATGCCCAGTGTCTTTGTAATTTCCATTTTCAATTTACTCAATCTCCTTGACTGCATTTCATACATCAGTTACACAGGGAATTAGTAACACCACATCCAGAGTACTGTCTACAGTACTGGCCACTGCACTTACGGAAGGATGTTAATGCATTGGAAGCTGTTTACTTGTCTAATACCTGGAATGAGTGGATTGCCTTATGAGGAAAGGCCAGAAAGGGTAAGCTTGTATCCTTTGGAGTTCAGAAGAGTCATGGAATTCTTTCCCTCAAAAGGCATTAGATGCAGAATCTTTAATTTTTTTTTAAGGGAGAGCTGGATAGATTCTCGACTACCAAGAGAATGAAGGATTATCAGGGGCATGCAGGAATGTAGAGTTAAGGTTAAAATTAGATCAGCCCTGGCCAAATTGTTCCATGTTCACATATGGCTCCGGTGTCTCATCAGCTTTAGGTACAGAAAGCCAATTCAATACTTCCTCCTTAGCTATCTTAAGTCTTTCTGCTGTCAGGACTACTTCCTGTTTCGCAAAAACCACAGTAGCATTTTCTTCTTTGAAAATACAGATTCAATGTATTCATTTAGTACCTCAGCCATACCCCTTGCCTCCAAGTGTAAAATCCTATTATGGTCTCTAATCAGCACTTGTCCTCCTTTTATTCACCCCTCCTCTACCACCAACGCTAGCTCCACCCACCCCCGTTTTCTACCATTTTACCTCAAAAGGACTTCCAGATTTCCATTCGAACAGACTGCAACAATTTGCTATCCTTCCAATTCACAAAGATCAGCTATAAATGTTATGTTGACCTACATAAGGCACTTGCTGTCATTGAGATAACTGAAGTTTGGAAAAGTAAGTGTATTAATTGTTTAATAGATTTATTTATTAAAACATACTAAACTGCATTAACTGAGGGTCTTACTGATAAGCAATTCTTAGTTCATTCACAGGAAATGAGAGTCATTAGTAAAGCTAGTATTATTTGCCCTTAAGAAGGTGGGGAAGAGTCTTCTAAAGTGTTAGTTACATTGCTGTGGTTTTGAAGTCACACAGAGCACAGACCAGGTAAGGATAGCAGATTTCCCTCCCTAAAGGACATTTGTTATTGCTTCGGATTTTTATGATAAGATGATAGTAACACGATCACCAATACAATTTTTATTCCAGATTCATTTAACTAATACAGGTCCCATGGCTGCTGTGATGAGATTTAAACTTATGTCTTCAGATTATTAGTCAAGGCTTCAAGATTACTAGTCCAGTATTATTACCACCATACTACCGTTCCCATTCATGAAGGACTAAGGATTGGAATTCATAGCATCAATATTGTTAAAATCAGCAGTGATAAAGGGGAGATAGTAAGAACTGCTGATGCTGTAGTCAGAGATAACAGATCAACTTTCCTGCTCCTCTGATGCTGCTTGGCCTGCTGTCCTCCTCCAGCTCCACACTGTGTTATCAGTGATAAAGGGGAAGTAAGTGGTTAAGTAATTTTAAGCTAAATTAGGTTGGTGGTTACAGGCTTGTCGTAGGATTATGAACTGGATTAGACCACTCAGCCCATCAAGTCTGCTCTGACATTTCATGCAATCATGTGGATCAAACACTTCAATGCCTTTTATCCACATTATCCCCATAACCCTTTATGTCATTGGTAATCAGAAATCTAGCAACCTCTCCTTTTAAGCATACTGAAAGACTGAGTATCACAGCCCCTGGGGTAGACAGTTCTAAAGATTCACAACCCTCTGAGTAAAAACAGTTTCTCCTCCTCTAGATCCTAAATGGCATCTCTGTTATCTTTAAATAATACCCCTTGGTTCTAGATTGAAATTCTGAGGGAAGTAAAAAAATTCAACAGTCGTAAAGCTGTGGAAAGGAATGGTTTTGAATAGGTAATTGTATATTTAGTCTTGATTTCAGCATCATGTTGATGCTAGAAAGAATTAGATACAATTTCTTGGAGCGCTGAAACTGAATAATACTGAAAAAAGAGATATGTTGGCAGAAGTTTTAATGTTGAAGTCATCAGGACCAGTTTCAATCAATCACAGCAATTTATACAACAGCAGGCCAAGGCTTTACCATGGATAGGTTCCCCAAACGCCTGGTTAATGCTTGCAGAAGGCAAGTTCCTATGTACGAATGTATGCTGCTTCTAGCAAGCACCAATCAGTTATGTTATCAGCTAAATCGGTGATCTCAAATCGGTTGTTAGTTGTAGCTAAGTGCATACTCAGGGTGGTTCAGCAAGTGTTGTCCAATTGTGGAGTCACACCTAACAATAGACACTTTATTTTGAGATTTTACAAACACAGGCTGGCTGAGCAGGCAGAAGACTTGCCTTGGGTTTCCCTGTTGATCCACTTGTATATAGGATGAAAAGTGGATGTTCGGCATCAACCCATTCTGGTTCGCAATGCTCACTCGCATCTTTCATTAGTGCATCCCAGCACATATCTGTTTCACAGTTCCAGAACAACTATGAGAAAGAATTAGAACATCACCATACTTCCCCAGTTAACATTTTGCTGCCATTTGAAATGCAGAATGAGAAGTGTCATTTTATCTATCAAGCCCAACTTATAGCCCCGGCCATTAAGCTTCACCTGGCCAAAGGACACACAAGAAAATCTGACAGGGACAGTTGTACACTCTTTACAGATCCCACAAGACACGCTTACCATTATGGTCATTCATCAGGCAGACACTGAACTGTTCTCAGCCTTCATTTATGCTACTCCAGAACTTGGAGGCTAAGGAAGATCATTCAGAACTTCCCTGTTTGATGCTGTGAATGCATGTCACGTCAGTAGAACAACACAGCTGGGAGTGGGAACTTGCTATGGGGGAAAGTTACAGGTCAAAGTCTCAACTAAAATGTATTCTATTCTCAGCAAAAATGGTGCAACTATGGATAGGAATAAGCAGGAAGGTCTTGGTTGTGTTCCCTGGCTGATATGTACAAGGTTAACTGATCACCATATGGTAAGGGCAGACTTCAGAAATAGAAATAGATAAGTTGATCTGAATATAGTAAAGTTTGTTCACAGCTGTATATTGTAGAGACTAGTTAAGGACAGGAGCAGGTGACAGTACGAGGCAACAGGCTGATAACCAAAACTTATTGGCAAAGTACAAACTTGAGTAACAACCATTAAAGTAAAGTATCAACTACAACTGTTATCACTGAAATCACAGTCCAGTAACAGAATTAAGACCTACCGGAGACAGTAGTGAAAAGTGAATGCAAAAATAATAATTCCGAATCAGAGACAGCTAAAGAAATAAAATTGTTTATTCATTGATTTGGCATCATAAAGATGAGAAAAATACTCACTGTTCGAAATGAAATCAAAAGAGAGTATTGAGATCCTTAATTAGGGAGGGAGGATAAACGGTGCGTGTACTTTTAAACTAAGGTCATCATGTATGAACATGTGGAAGAGGCATACCAGAGGGACCAAATAGTTTCACTATCCAAGATTTCATATATTTTTGTTTCACGTCAACACTTAATCATCACTTTTTTTTTACTGAATTGGCATTTACCTGCAGGATGTTACAACTATCCTGTTCATGGTTGTTTCTCACCTTGTCACCAAGGTGTTGTACCACAATGCACTTTTTCAGAATAAAGCTTTCTCTGAAATAAATTATAAATACATTTTATAAAGAGTGATTCATATTTAAATAAAAATGATAAATGCAATATATTCTTGTAGCAGATTTTTTTTAACATTTGTTAATGGGATATGGACGTCACTGGCAAGGTCAGCATTTATTGCCCATCCCTGATCACCCTGGAGAAGCTGTCTTCTTGAACTGCTGCAGTTCCTGGGGTGTAGTTACATCCATAGTGCTGTTTTGATGGGAGTACCGCAATATTGACAGAGTGACCATGTAGGAAATGCAATATATTTCCAAGTTAGGATAGTGAGGGGCTTGGAGAAGAACTTGCAGGTGGTGGTGTTGCCATTTATGGGGAGGCAATGGCCTAGTGGTATTATCGCTAGACGGTTTATCCAGAGACCCAGATAACATTCTGGGGACCCAGGTTCAAATCCCGCCATGGCAGATGGTGGAATTTGAATTCAATAAAAACAAATCTGGAATTAAGAGTCTAATGATGACCATGAATCCAATGTCAATTGTTGGGAAAAACCCACCTAGTTCATTAATGTCCTTCAGGGAAGGAAACTGCCATCCCTACCTGGTCTGGCCTACATGTGACTCCAGACCCACAGCAATGTGGTTCTGAACTGCCCTCTGGGCAATAAATGCTGCCTAGCCAGTGTTACCCTTGTCCCATGAATAAAAAAAATCTGCTACCATTGTTCTTCCAGATGGTAGAGTTTGCAGATTTGGAAGTTGCTGCTAAAAGAGACTCAGTGAGTTTTTGCAGCACACCTTGTTAATGGTACACATTACTGCTACCGTGCGTCAGTAGAGAAGGCACTGAATGTTGAAGGTAATGGGCTGCTTTGTCTTGGATGGTTTTGAGCTTATTGAATATTGTTTGACTTATATTCATCCAGGCAAGTGGAAGTCTGGTCTTGCTATGTTTGGGCATGGACTGCATCAGTATCTAAGGAATCATGAAAGGTGCTGAACATCAGCAAACATCCCCACTTCTGACCCTGTGATGGAGGGGAGATCATTGATGAAGCAGCTGAAGGTGGTTGGGCCAAGAAAACTTGTCCCCTGATTCCCACTGACTCCAGTTTTGCCAGGGCTCCTTGATGCCACACTCAGTCAAATGTGGCCTTGATGTCAAGGCAGTTGTTTTTGTGGTTTTCTTAATTTGTTCATGGAATATTGATGTCACTAGATGGAACACCATTTATTGCCCATCCCCAATTGACCAGGCAGCAGTTAAGAGTCAACCATATTTCTGTAGGGTCTGGTACCATGTAGGATGACAGATTTTCTTCCCTAAATTTCATTAGTGAAACAGACGGGTTTTACAATTGTCAGTGATTACCTGATTGTTATTAGACTAGCGTTTATTTTTTAAATTCCAGATTGTTATTGAATTCAAATCTCACCATCTGTCATGATCAGATTCGAACCCATGTCCCTAGAACCTTAGCTTTGTGATATGACGATGTTACTGCCTCCTCCATTGTTACTTGCATTTCACCCTATGATCAAACAATGGTCGTCAAATACCATTTATGGAAGAGGTGAGAATGGGTGGGGATAGTTTTCTTTTGAGGCGATTCCTTTTTATTTAATATTTGAGTAAGCATTTAAAATGGAAACCATGCCACACAAATACATTCTCCCATTACCTGATCAAAAGAAGAAAGTCAGTGCAACTCAAATGTAATGCACAGAAGTGGCTGAGTCAGGATAAACTGACAAGCAAAGACAAAAGATCATGAAAAATAGAAGCCTATTGAGACTGATCTGCCATTCAATAACTTATTGGCTGATCTAATCCCAAGTCTTAACTCCACTTTCCTGGCTGCATAATCCATAACTCTAGTCTTTGTTGTAGATCAAACATCCATTCAACAAAATTATACATGACAACCAGATTGTAAAGTAAAGGAGCCAACACAACTCACAGCATGATGCAGAGAAGTATATGTAAACGGATGTGATTCAAATTTCATCAAGACTCCTTAGACAGCACATTCTAAACCCACTGTCATCTCGAAGGACAAGGGCAGCAGATACATGGGAACACCACTAGGTACAAGATCATCTCCAAGCCACTCACCATCTTGACTTGGAAATATATCACCATTCCTGCAGTGTTGCTGGGTCAAAATCCTGGAATTTGCTCACCAACAGTATTATGGGTGTACCTACAGCACATGGAATGGAGTGATCCCAACAAGCAGCTCACCACCACCTTCTCAAGGGTAGCTAGGGATGGACAATAAATGCTGGCCCAAGAAGTGACACACACATCCTACGAGTGAGTAAAATAAAACAATAAAGGACAGTCCATGCATCACGTCTGCACAATCAAATCCACCCTTACCAATTCTCATGCTGTTTTGTCACCTACACAGTGCCCTTCTATGTAACAGAAGTTACATGACCAACAACCATGAGTACTTCTCCTTTTGTTTTTAATTAAAAATAAACAAAGAGGAAACAAGGTTTTGAGAGAAGTTTTTTGCCTGAAGTAATTTGGTAATCTTTAGAATAAAGAATTAGGATGTTAAATTGGAATTTAATACAATTTGGTTCGCAGTGTGTGAAACATATAAAATGGAACATAACATTTAAATATCTTGAACGGAATGTTCTATCCAGGGGGATCTGTTTAATTCCATGCTTTATGTTTGGAATCTCCAATATGCAAGAAGTGGGCATGATATTCAATATATTCACCACGATTCAACACGGATTGAGGGTCTCTTTGAGGCTGTCTCTCTCAGAAAGTAATTTGAGATACTCAGGTGCAGAAAGGTGTTTTGCAGAAATCTCACTTGTCTTTGCACTTTTCCAAGGCATCATCTGCGATCTGCTTTAGGTTTACAAGCTTTTCTCCCCTGTAGAAACCATCTGAATTACAGACAAAAAGAAAACCATGACTTGCCAAAATCCATAAAGTTTCCAGCATGACAGATACAACAACTGACCACGATAAGGGTCAGAAGAGAGGACAGTGAATTACTAAACAGGAGTAACTGTGTCCTTACCTGCAGTAACCAGTAATATACATTGTGAGTCTAATATTCTCTCACACAGAGATTCAGCTGAGAAACCTGCAAACTAAATCACAAACATATGAAACACTATATTGGCTATTGCTGTTTAATTAGCAGATCAGACTCAATATTTTGGTGAGAGTATTGTCCATGGGAATAAATAGTGTAGCTGAGGTCATGTCCGAGAAACATGTTCCGATGAGAGGTGAAATACTGGCCTGGACTTTCTAATGGCTAGATTGTCATTTTTGCAGCGTAGATGGGAGTTGCACATCTGAACCCAGCAGAATCCCCAACGTTCCGAGGAAATTGACCAGGAAATTGAAGATTCCGCTATGCAGTACCCATGGACCTAAAACCTTCCAATGATGGCTGATTTATATCAGAGAATTCAGAGTGATCCACTGCAGTTATGTAAATAGTTAATATTCTGTCAAATACCTGGCACCCTTTCCAGTTTGCACTCTGGCTCCCTACCCTCTTGGCATCCTACCTACCTTCACACTGGCACCCTTCTCACTTGGTACTCATACCCTATTCACCTGGTACCCCACCGACACATCACCCTACCTACTTGACACCCTGTCATACCTATCCACACATTTCCCAGACAATTCTCACAGAGGTCAGCATGTTGCTACTTGCATGGGGTCCTGGCTCAGATCTCAAGTTGTACATCCAATCCCCAATGATCTGGAGACTGGATCATGCAAGACAATGAGTTAAACAACTAGACAATCTGTTCTTAGTTGTGTTGTTTGATAAGTGAGGCATCAGAACATACATACCACCACTGAGTGTACCGCTCCTATTCTTGCACATGCCAGCATTGCATATATCAGCTCTGGGATCACTGGTAAATATATGGCAATCCTGTCACCTTTCTTCACCCCTGTAAAGAAAATAAGATTTTCTGCAGTTTATATTTTTTATGATTGATGGATTTCTGATGTTGAGTGTTTAGGAGTAAATCTTCAAGGTTTGAGAAACTTTGCGAGGTTCAGTCCAACAATCAGCTCCCTGAATGATTGAACCAAGCAATGGAAAATTCTTTCTCCACTTATAGGGTTTCCTCTAAGAACTTCGAGTTTTGTTTTCCCTATAGCATACATAGATATGTAGATTTGCACAAGGCAATTGTTAAACATAAAGTACAGCACAGAAACAAGCTATTCAACTCACTTTGTCCATGCCAGTGTTTAGGTTTAACCCCATTATGTCTAACTCCATGAATACTACTTTATTTTTCTTTCTTCCTCATGTGTAATTCAAGTCTCCCCCTTTAAAATTCACCTGGACTACACCCTATTAGTGTTAGCAAATTACACATCTCACCACTCTCTGGGTAAAGAGGTTAAAACAATCTGTGCAAGGATCTTCTATGTGGTATAGGTGGTTCCAACACCAGCCAACCACTATGCAAGCTGCCAACAGATTTTTGACCCACTCAATAGCTTGTCTGCCGGTTGAAGAAGGTATACCTTTTTCCCCACCATCCACATCAACAGCCCAAAACCCATAATGTCCGAAAGTTATCCCATGGCACTACACAGAGGCACAATCCACGAAATAGGAACACTGAGACAAAGGACAGTTAAGGAGAAGTGATCAAAAGTTTGGTCAAAGAAGTCAACTTAAAGAAGCACACACAGGAGAAGTACGAGATAAACACAGAATTGTTAAAGTATTGAAGGAGGCCATTTGGCCCATCATGTCTGTACCAGCTCTGTTATCTAGTGCCAATCTCCTATCTTTGCTCCAACTCCCTGCACACCATTTCTATCCATTTAATCACTCAATGCGCTCTCAAATGCCTCAGTTGAACCTGGCTCCACCACATTTCCAGTCAGTGCATTCCAGACCATAACTATCTGCTTCTTTTGCACATCATTTTAAATCTATTCCCTCTCATGCCTGTCCCTTTGCATGCAGAAACATCTCCCTATCTACTCTGTCTAGTCTGCTCATGATTTTGAAAACTTCTGCCAAGTCTTCGCTCAGCCACCTCCTCCAAGGGTAAAATAGAATGTGATATAAAACAGGAAATTAGAGCTGGACGTAACACAGTAACACAGGGAACTTCAATGTCCATACAGACGGGGTAAATCTAATTACCAAGAATGCTTTGGAGGACCAAATCCTGGAATATTTTCAAGATGGTTTTTTTAGAACAGTATGTTGAGGAATCAATCCCAGTATTGCGCAAGGAGAAAGGGCTAATTAACAAACTCAACGGCTGCTATTGTGGTCATCTCCCAAAATTGCTATAGAAAAATTTCTGGAACAGATTGGAAGGTAGCAAAGGCAACAGCACAACTTAAGAAAAGGAGAAAGTCACACAGGTTATAGTCCAACAGGCTTATTCAAAATCACAAGCTTTCAGAGCACAGGCCCTTAGTCAGGTCCACCCCAACCCAACACTGGCACCTGCACATTAAGAAAAAGACAGAAAGAGAAAAGGGGGAGCTACTGACTGGTTAATTTGACAACTGTTGTAGAAAAAGAGTCTATTATAAAGGATGTGATAACTGAATCACTTAGAAACTAATGGTAGGGTTCGAGACAGTCATAGAGTAATACAGCATGGAAACAGGCCCTTCGGCCCAAACTGATCCATGCTGACGATGGTGCCCACTCAGCTGGTTCCAATTGTCTGCATTTGGTCCATTCCCTTTAAACCCTTCCCATCCATGTACCTATCCAAATGTTTTCATGAGTCAACATGGATCTACAAAAGGGAAGCCATGTTCGATTAGCCTCTTTAATATAAGGGTTTTTTGAATATATAGCAAGCAGAATAAATAAGGGGTGAAGCAAGTGGATGTCATAGAGTCATAACGATGTACAGCACAGAAACAGACCTTTCGGTCCAAACTCATACATGCCAAACAAATAGCCTAAATTAATCCAGTCCCATTTGCCAGCATTTGGCACACATCCCTCTAAATCCTTCCTATTAATGTACCCATCCAGATGCCTTTTAAATGTTGTAATTGTACCAGCCTCCATCACTTCTTCTGGCAGCTCATTCCATACACACACCATCTTCTGCGTGAAAAAGTTGCTCCATAGGTCCCTTTTAAATCTTTCCCCTCTCACCTTAAACCAATGCCATCTAGTTTTGGACTCCCCTATCCTGGGGAAAAGACCTTGGCTGTTCACCCTATCCACACCCCTCATGATTTTATAAACATCTATAAGATCACCCCTCAGCCTCCGATGCTCCAGGGAAAATAGCCCCAGTCTATTCAGCCTTTCCCCATAGCTCAAACCCTCCAACCCTGGCAACATCCTTGTAAATCATTTCTAAACCCTTTCATGTTTCACAACAGCCTTCCTATAGCAGGGAGACCAGAACTGAACACAGTATTCCAAAAGTGGCCTAACCAACGTCCTGTACAGCCGCAACATGACCTCCCAGCTCCTATACTCAAGTACTGACCCATAAGAGCAAGCATACCAAATGCCTTTTTCACTATCCCGTCTACCCTGCAACTCCAAGATGGTAATCGAAGATGGAGGACGGGAGAAAATTGTGGCTGTAAGAGCTGCTCCTTTATCGAGATATTTGGAGCGTTGGAGCTGATTTCCTCGAATTCTTGGAGCAGTAATTACTGTTTTATAAGTTGTAGCATTGTTTTGGAATTTTGTTAAAAAAAAGATCAAAACCACGGCACTTTAAAAAGGGAGGAAGAGAGAGAGCAGGTACCATGTTGGAGGTGAAGAAAAGAAGGATCAGTGAACCTGCACAGCTGTCTGACTGGGCAATGAACTTTCACAGCTGACTGCCTCTGCTGTCAGTTTCAATTATCCCTGGACATTGGATGTGGTGTATTTGAATGTTCAGAAGGCTACCAGTAAAGTCCCACACAGGAGGCTAGTGAACAAAATCAGAGCATATGGAGTTGGGGATAATATACCCACATGAACTAAGTATTAGTTAATGGATAGAAAACCAAATGGGAGGATAAACAGGCCATTCTCAGATTGCCATGCTGTTACCAGTGGGTACCTCAAGGATTAGTGCTTGGGTCCTAGCTATATAGGTAATTTGCATGTGGCAACCAAATATAGTATTTCTAAGTTTGCTGATGACATAAAACATGGTGGGAATGAGAGCTATTGCAAACTTGGTTCAAGGGGATTTAGGCAGGCTGAGTCAGTGAACAAGACTATACCAATGGAATATAATGTGGAAACATGAAATATTGTCCACTTTGGTAGGAAAAATAGCAATGCAACATATTTCTTAACTTGTGAAAGATTGTAAATTATTGATTGGTATCCTTGTTCATAAGTCACTGAATGAGTATGTTCAAGACAGAAATTGGGCTGGTCTTGGGATGACGTCGGGAGTGGGGAGATTTTGAAGCTTGTGAAGTCCACATTGGTACCATTGGGCTGCAGGGTTCCCAAGCGGAATATGAGGTGCTGTTCCTCCAGCCTTCGGGTGGCATCATTGTGGCACTGGAGGAGGCCCAGAATGGACATGTCGTCCAAGGAGTGGGAGGGGGAGTTGAAGTGGTTCGCGACTGGGAGGTGTTGTCGTTTGTCACGAACCGAGCGTAGGTGCTCCACAAAGCGGTCTCCAAGCCTCCGCTTGGTTTCCCCGATGTAGAGGAGGCCACAACGGGAACAGCGGATACAATATACCACATTAGCAGATCGTTTCCTCACGTTTTACCCCATCAACCTCCGGATTCAACACATCATTCTCCTCCACTTCTGCCACCTGCAATCTGACCCCACTACCAAGGATATATTTCCCTCCCCACCCTTATCTGCCTTCTGGAGGGACCACTCTCTCCGTGACTCCCTCATCCACTCCACACTCCCCACTAGCCCCACCACCCCCGGCACCTTTCCCTGCAACCGCAGGAGGTACTATACCTGCCCCTACACCTCCCCCTTCATCTCCATCCCAGGCCCCAAGAAGACCTTTCACATCAAACAGATGTCCATTTGCACATCTGCTAAAGTGGTATACTGTATCCGCTGTTCCCGATGTGGCCTCCACTACATCGGGGAAACCAAGCGGAGGCTTGGAGACCGCTTTGTGGAGCACCTACGCTCGGTTCGTGACAAATGAAAACACCTCCCAGTCGCGAACCACTTCAACTCCCCCTCCCACTCCTTGGACGACATGTCCATCCTGGGCCTCCTCCAGTGCCACAACGATGCTACCCGAAGGCTGGAGGAACAGCAGCTCAATGGTCTCAACGTGGACTTCACAAGCTTCAAAATCTCCCCAACCCCGACCTCATCCCAAGACCAGCCATCTCGTCCTTGACCTGTCCGTCTTTTCTCCCACCTATCTGCTCCTCCCACCTCACTTACCAAACCCCACCTCCATTTCCTACCTACTAGCCTCATTCCCCCCACCTTGACCTGTCCATCTTCCCTCCCACCTACCTGCCCCTCCCTCCTCACTGACCAACCCGCATCCCAACTCCCTACCTACACTCACCTTTACTGTGTTCATCCCCGCCTCCTTGACCTGTCCGCCTTCTCTCTGCCTATCTGCTCCTCTATCCACCTTCCATCATCTCCTCTCCCTCTCTCTCTATTTATTTCAGAGCCCCCTTCCCCTCCCCTATTTCTGAAGAAGGTCCAGACCCGAAACGTCAGCTTTCCTGCTCCTCTGATGCTGCCTGGCCTGCTGTGTTCAGCGAGCTCTACAGCTTGTTACCTCTTTTATTCCAGATATTTTATTTTATTCAAAGTCCAACTTCTTACTTTTTAAGATGATTCATGTGGCAATTCTTGTCACTGCAGCAGAATTGGTATGAAATGAAACTGGGAAAAGTTAAGAGTATTAATCACTTTACTTCACCAAAGGCAGAATGACAGAATTACAATTCTGAAATACAAGTATAATCAACAAAACATGTCATTAGCACTCACATGCTACTTCATTCATATCAGGATTACCACCAGTGCCACTCTGCTTATGTGAAGTGCAACAAAATTGATGAAATTGTGGATGTACCGACTATACATTATGCTAAACCTTAACTCTTTGTGTTCTACCACCTACATCAACCTAGATCTGTTAAGAGTTATAAGAATTGGTATCTTCAATGATAGTCTGTCTACTTTTAGCCTGGTATTTCTTGTTCTTGTTCTGGTTTTGTTGTGTGATGATACAGATGGAATGGGGGAAGCTGGGGGCATTTAAATACCAGCACAGACTAAATGAATGGCCTGCATCTGTGCTGCACATTCCACCTAATTCTATGTGGAAAGTATAACAAAGATTAGAATGAAACACTGGAAAAACAGACATCTCTATTACTTTGACATTATATGCTGAAGCAATGATCACATTGCAAAAATACATTTTAAAAAACTGACAGTGACTTACTCACTCGAATAACACAGTGCTTTACTCACTGGATTAACAGAGCTCTCTACTTACATGGACAAGACAAGAGCTCTCTACTGCTGCCTGGAAAAAGGAATTATTCACCTAAAGTCCGTAGAACATTGGCAAACTTGCAGACTTCCTTTAAGAGCTGAGAGTAGGTGATGGTGGAGCAGACATTAGGTTCATTTCCTTCCCTAGAATAAAAAAAAAGGTCATCCTGATTAAGAAGGAAAAGTTACACCTCCAATATCATCCATCTGTCTATCCTAAACTGAACTAAAGGCTTCATTGAATCACACTCTCACTTCTAGCATCTCATGCCTTTAAGCTAGTGATCTCAAACTCAAAATTAGTTCCATTCTGATTTTGACCAGTACCTCGTCTAATTGGTCATTATTCATGGAGTCAATTCCAGGCTCTGCCTTCTCCAACTCATCTGAGCCACTGTGACCTTAAGATTAAGTACACTGCCTGTTGTTTCTCTCTGACGAGATCTATCTGTGGTTCTCTAGTGGATCCACGGCGAGTCTCAATCATGTGGGCACCTGAGCAAAGGTCAATCCTGTCTTCACCTGACGTTGAAACCCATGTACTTCAGCTGGAATTATCGGAAAGCAATGGGGGACAGGTACCAAAGCCCATCTTCTTGTTAACCTAACAGTGCAGAAACCAGTTGTCATGCCTAACATTGCCCTGCTTGTGATCGGATGATTTAGACTATCCAAGCGTGGATATTTCCTGATGTTGGCCATTTAGTCAATCACATTTTTAATTTACTATACCATTTCCTTACATCAAGTCTGCTCAAAAGCTGATGAAGCTCATCAAGAATGTT